CTTTCTTAAGACTAGGGCACTATATATATAACTTGGAATATTTCTTCAGGTCAAACCCAAAGGACCAGGCCTGCAGTTTTAAAACCACTGCAAACACTCACATTTTCATGTCCAACAAACTGGATTCACTAATACATGACAAACCACAATAGCTCATACTCTAGAACAATCCCATAACCCCTTTGTGCTAAAACATAATACATCTGAACTCCAGTCAGATGGGTTATCACTGCACAGTTCAGGGTTACAATCAGGTAATGCATTATAAATCTGCTACATCAAATTCTATTGAATTTTTTAAGGTTCCAAAGTGGCAGAGAGCAGCTCCGAAGCAGTGAAGAACATGCACAAAAGCCGTCTATAAAACACCAGTGTGTGAACTTTAAAGCTGAGTTGATATGCCAGTCTCATAAATTTGGACCACATGACATTTCTAAGCGAAGAAAAAAAAAATCCCCATCCGTTCTTTGTACTCACTTGCCAAGCGTGTTATTGATATTGCTGAACCCAACAAGAGCACAATATGAGGATGAGGCTTTAATGACTAGAGTATCTGCTGTCATTTAACTTTAAAAAATAAAAAAAAAATAATAATATGGTTGAGTGCTTTACAACCAACTACTGGGAATATGTAAGAAAATGAGAGCGAGAGACATATCTCTACAGAAAACTTTAGCTGTGTTGCTCCACTACAATTTGAAGGCCATAGGGAACACCTGAAACGCAAATTAGATAAAGAAAATATAAAAAATTACAGAGTATTTTAAGTCACGGTATAGGTGCTAATGTAGGCAACATAGACTACATTCACTAGGGAGCAGGTAAGTTAAAGGGATAGTCCACTTTTTTGGAAATAGGCTCATTTTACCACTCTCCAGAGTTAAACAGTTGGATTTTTACCATTTTCAAATGTATTCAGACGATTTTCTTATATTTAGAAGAAAGGTTGCAGTAACCAGACATTTTCTGGTCTCATTGACTTCCATAGTGGGAAAAATATATATATATACTATGGAAGTCAATGAGACCAGAAACTGTCTGGTTACTGATATTCTTGTAAATATCAGAAAGTTGGCTGAATGGATTCAAAAACGGTAAAACTCAACTGTTTAACTCTGGGGGAGTTGTAAAATGATCCTATTTCCAAAAAAGTGGAGTATCTCTTTAAGCAGCTCATTGTAAGCGAGTGGCTAACTAAAAATATAAATGCTTAGTAGACAATTACTACAACAAACTAATGTATATTTTCATTTTTTAACTTTCACTACTTTTTAAAATTATGAAAAGCTTATATTTTGGCATGCTCTGATTTTAAAGCAGCATCCACAAAATATCTATGCTTATATTTACATCCTCACCTGAAATATCACCTGATATATCAAACATGAGATGGTTGTTGATTGGCCCCATTGACTTCCAAAGAGTATTTTTCCCTATCCTATGGAAGTCAGAGGGGTCCATCAATAGTTTGGTTACCCATATTCTTAAAGGTATGTGTGTTCAGCAGAAGAGAGACATTCATACAGTTTCGGAACAACTTGAGGGTAAGTTAATGATGACAATTTTCATTTTGAGGTAACTTATACCTTAGCACTAGCAACAATATATTATTACATTTATTAAATGTGACTTAACACATTAAAAAAAAAGTAAATACTTTTTAATTGTTACAAATGATTTCAATTTCAATTAAATGCTATTCTATTCATCAAAGTATCTGGAAACTAGGGGTGTGCAAAGCAGCCGCTATTTGTATTTGTATTTGTATTTGTTCAGGGAGGAAAAGTATTTGTATTTGTATTTGTATTCGAGTAAAATTCAAAATAGGCATAAAAATCTTTAAAAATAGGCCTACTTTATAGTGTATGGATTCTTTAATTATATCCATTATAATAATTATGGATATGCAATATTGGTTGGTTTTTTCTATAAATCCAGCAATGAACATGTAACAAGAAAAGTCATTGAAAAGAAAATAACAGTCAGCCATTACCTCATGAACCATGGTTAAACCAACAACTAATAAAATATAATTGTGAACATTATGAACCCCAACACCACGGTGGAGGACGCTGTGCAGACAGAATAAGTTATATGGATAATTTATAGTGAGGAGGTTGATTATGAGCCCGACGCGAAGCCTGAAGGGTTTTCGCTATAACTACGCCTCGCTCTACATTACCCCGCTTATTACATGGCTACCTACCAAATAAATCAATAATTTGACGCAAAATATGGATATAAAAAGGAGTTTATTGATTTAAAAAACGATTGTATCGCTCCCGCTAAAAAAAGAAAAATAGTCCGTTCTGTCTCTACGTTTAGAGTCCATGGCAACGCTCTGTTTTTCATAGCAACCTAAGCAACGGTGTGTTGTACTTATAAGCAGCGGCCTGTTATAATAACAGACCGCATTCTACATTGGAATTCAATCAAGCCATGAAACAAATAATTACCGTTACCGAGCTAACAGAGCTACGTAAACAGAGCGAACATGAAAGCACCCGTCTGCAGACGTCAATAATGGAATATACTCCCGATCAAACTCCGCTTCCCGAAAGTTATAAACTGCCACCGGAACATAGTTAAGGTACAAACATCTATTAAACAAAAATAGTGATGCAGTTAAGTGTTTTTTTTTTTTTTTTTTCGCTCAGCCGAGCCCTCTCTGTTGCTGTGTGGAGCAGCCTGTGTCAGTCACCTCTTCCTGAACGTCACTCACTCAACTCGCGCACTGACTCAAGTCACTCAACTCGCGTCTCGTGAGGAACGCAGCTTTTTGATATAAAGTATTTCTTGTTCCCGAATACAAATATTTTTTTAAGTATTTGTTCGGAATAAGTATTCGTAAAAAACACATTATTTGTACCTTTCCGAATACCGTATTCGGATTCGGCTCCACCCCTACTGGAAACCATGGTTTCTTCAAAAATGTTAAGCAGTACAACTTTTTTCAACATTGATAGAAGAAATGTTGCTTGAGCAGAAAATCAGTATATTATAATGATTTCTGAAGGATCATGTGAAACTGAAAACTGGGGTAATGATGGCAAAAAATCAGCTTTGCCATCACAGGAATAAAATACATTCAGATAGAAAACAGTTATTTCATAATATAACTATTTACTGTATTTTTGATCAAATAATGGCAGCCTCTGAGTTTAAGAGACTTCTTTCAAAAACATTTAAAAGATCTTACAGACTCCAAACGTTTGAAAAGTACTGTATTTAGGTAGACTGATATCGTATAAAGGTATATTTGAATGAAAAATTCCAAGAATAGTACAAAAATTGTGATTACCCTCAATGGGAAAAAATTGATATAGATTGATCTTAAGAAATATACAAAGTCATGATACTCTTGGGAACATCCTCTTTGCTGTAATTTTCAGAAATAAAGTGGCCCATTCATATTCAATACAGTACTGTAGATTTTCTAGTCGATGACGTCACAGAGCTCTAATAAAAAGTTTCCCCCCATGGAGAGAGATTCCCACCTCATTATATAGCTCCTCATGGACAACTGCTTCCACATTAAAAACATCTATCAGTATTCCACATCCTGCTTAAACAAGAAACTTACATAAAATGACATTTTCATTGTTCCCAGTGGGATGCTTTGGTTACCCGTGCAAGACACACACTCACACTCGCATATGCAAAGCTATCATCAGCAATTCACACCGAACTCTTTTTTTTTTCAGCACATCTCATTTCATGTCATGCTCCAGGACCAAACACTGGCAGCAGGGTGATGTGGTAAAAAATGACTCGAGAGAGAGACAAGAAAACAGACAATGGACCCCTGGCCTCAGTTTTCTTAAATTTGTATAAAATACAAATATACCAGATCACATAGTATATATAAAGCCCATGAAATGCAATTTTTACAAACCCAATCCAAACCACACTCATATTAAATCGAATTTCAAGTATTTTTTTCATTGTTGCGGAGGCAATGGGCAAATGGGTATATAATCGAATTCACAAGAGCTGTCGTGTCTTCAAATCATTTATTCACTCACGTGTAATTCACTGTATATTGAACGGTGAAATGAACAAACCAGTGAGCATTTTTGGACACAGTATGAGCAGGTTTTACTTAGGTTGCTTTACACTTGTCTCAGACCCATAATTATATCTTAAGCATTAAAAAATGCTTTAAAAATATGATGCTGTAAACATAGCTAAATTTGTAATATGAATGTAAATGTAATTGGAAATGGAAATGTAATATGTATTGTGTAAAACATTCATTTAAACTTAAAAAAGACTTTCCCATAGTTGTGCCATTATTTCCACCAAAGCTTTTTTTCTTTAAAAAGTGTACTTAGAAGATGTCACGATACAACCAGACACAGGTAGATCCAAAAGCAGCGTGAGTTTATTACAGGTCACAGACAGCAAACACAGCATTGGAGACAAGTCAATCCTCAAGATCAGAAACTGTACCAGGTGAGCTCCTGAGCAAGTTAAATTGAAAAACACCGTACGGGCAAGAACATAATGACCCAGGCCTGGTCCTGGTCCTAGACTGTTGTCACTCCTCTTTTTATGCCTCTATATCTCCTCTGTGAGAGATTCGAGGCCAGTGTGGTGCGCAGATGACACTCATCAAGCATGCCACCAGCCTTGCGCCATTCTCACGGCTCTCTGCCCCGCCCTGCTTGCAACAGTTATGAACATCTTAAAGAATTAAGAAAATTAGACTAACTTATGAAACTAACTTTTAATGTGGAAGTCATGCACCTTGGTGTATGGGATCATGACAATTTTGTGCAAGGGATCACGCAAAAATAAGTCCTTATTAATCAATATAGTCCCATAAAAAGAATAATGTAATTTTTTTTTTTTTCTATTTTATTGTCTGATATAATCACTTACAGATTTATTCCTACTGATCAGATTTAAATTCTGGAGTTAGTAAACTGGAGATCAGATCAATAAACTGGAGTTAGGTGCAGTGTAACAAAACCAAAAACCAAAATTTTATTTTCATATTCCATATTTCAGAGCAGATCAACTTTTATCAGAATGAATTGCAAATCCTGCCTTTTTGACAGTTTCACGACTGAGAATCGCTATTGATTTTAGCTTTCCAACTCTCTAAATCTTTAGAGGCTTTTTCACATTAAGTCCTGGGCAGTAGATTCCAATGCACCCAACATATAATTAACCTCAGGGCCCATTTGCGCTCTTAGAGTGACAAATAAGTCAATTAATAGTCAGATAATTGGCTGATGTTAATAGCATTAACTATGATTTCTGCAAGTGTCTGCTGCCAAAAACCTAGTGATAGATCCGAGTGAGAATGCAGCGAAATGATTCAACACACACAGGAATTTCACGTCAAAGAGAAAAAGAGGAGAAACTGTGAGAAGGAGGAGGGGGTGCTAGTGTAGTGGAAGTAGTTGTAGCAGTTCATCATCAGTGTCTAGAAGAGGAACACGGCGTAAATGAAAGACAAAGAGGCGTAAACAGCTGGCATGCTGCTGCAGCGTCGCAATGCCAAAGAAAAGAAACTTGCCTGCCAACATCCAAAATCAGGGCTAAAGAAAGACACCGCCAGAGGAGAGCCAAAGGATTGTGGGATCCTGGCGTAGTCAATAGGGCCAATCCTCAGGGACATCCTGCTAATTACAAAGTCAGACAAAAGTCAGGTGACCAACTCCTGCTTTTCTTACACTCTTCCACCAATTAACTTCCCTCTATCACTACCTTTTCCTTCTGAGTTTGTCCTGCTTGCTCTTGCTCCTCAAGCACTCTGGACGATTCCTCGGCGGTTCTTGTCATTATTCATGTTTTCTTTCGTAAACTGCTTCTGGCACAGTTGCGTCATCATTTGGACTCTGCTTGCTGAACCGGTGTGGTGCAGTGGCAGACGCGGAGGCCCATCCCGGGGCAGATGCACTGCGACTGGAGAGATGAATGAAAACCACTTGGATTAATGAAGCAAATTCAGAACAGTTTAAGTTACTGACAGCTTCCCTAAACTTCTCACCCTGCCTTCTTTACCATGAGTAATAGTCTCACACAGTTGCTGATACTTAAGATTACTGCAGTAAATGCTGATTCACACACACCCGTGCACAGACAGAGAGCTGTTCAATAAGGAATGCATCAACTATTATTGGTATTATTATAACTAAAAATTATTCATAATTTATTATAAATAAATATCAATACTTTACTAGCTTTACTTTCAAATGTTAAAATACTATTGGGAGACCTTAAGCGGGTGGTTAATAGCGATTTCACTTTTTTCATTTTAAATAGTGTGTAATGTTGCTGATGGTGCATGAATAGTATCTGCAAAGTTGCTGCGCTGAAAGGTCAACATAAGCCGACATATCGTCTTTGAAAAATCAGGAAGTTTAATGCCTACAAAAACGACTCGAAAGGGACTAAAACAAGATACTTCCCGGGTTTTATATGTAACTAACCCATGAATTTACATCAACCCTCCCTCCGGATTCGGAATATGCAAAAAAGGGGGCATGGCCATATTTCTGCGGCTTTGTCGAAAGAGTTATAGCGGAGAGCTGTAGCCATGCCGTCGAAACTGTGTTAGTTTCAGCCAGCTGTTCGGGCTTTCCACTGACGCTGTAGTTCATCAACAATGGCTCTTGGCTGAAATTTATGTTTGATTATGTTCCTGAAAATTACAATCGCAAGACAGCTTCCAGAATCTCCACAAATTCAATGCCGGGTTCAACAAGAAACTGTTACTAAAACATGAAGCAGTACCAACTTTAAAACCAGAGGCAGCAGTTGCTGGGCCACAACCTGTGAGTAAGACTTAATCATTTTAAATGTATTTGCATGTATAATTTCAGATGTAATGTTTTAGTCTGTAATGTTTTATCAAGGACGTAAACAAATGCCAGCACTGGCATATTATATACTTATTATATATTTTCTGGTCCAAAATATTTTGGACCAGATTTTGTAATTATCTACTAATTTTGTAAATGTATTTTCCATTTTTACTTTTGGACGAAATTTTTCGAATTGATCAAGAACGTAATGCCAACGCTGTTTGGGTTCTGCTTGACTCTCTTCATCGCCGCTTTCTGGATCTGATTCTGGCTCAAACTGGCAGTATTGACACCATTATTTACATTTGATTGGAGAACATGCAACATTCACCCGTAAAGGTAATGGGCGTGAAGTTTCTGAACAATGTGCACTACGTAGTTTAGCCAATTACAACACACCGGCCCTACTGACCAATCTGAGCCCATTGCCTGTTTCTGAGGGAGCGGTTTCATAGACTCAGGATGTAAACCGGTCGTTCAAATGACAGAGGAGAAAGCGGCTTACAATAAAGGAGAAATTTATGAAAAATAAGGCTTAAAAAAAAGCCACGAAGACATGTTATATTGCACCCCATAAACATAATCATGCAAAGAAAAAAAGCAGTAAACCACCCCTTTAAAGTTGGCATGAAACTAAAATTGTGATCATTGTTCTTTCCAATTGTGACATATATTACTGAACAAAACAGCTTCTCAAAAATGAGATAAAAATGTAAGATTGGACTTGATTTTGTCCATTGGGGATTGATTGGTTCATTGTCGTTTTTTTTTTTTTTTAATTGCTGGGATTGCTGCACTAACGTGCAGTATAGTTTTAGTAAAAGATAATGTTTTGGTGAAAGATAGCAACATGCTAATTTTAAATGCTATTTAAATAAGTTGAGTCTGATGTGTGGAATGCTATTTGTGTGGCATCTGCAGTTACTGCCTACAGAATGCCTATGAAGCAGCTCATGATGCCAACAAAGTACAGCACTACAAAAGCAGCTATTATAGAACTGAAAGAGCTCTATATATTTAATATGGCACTGCGTATATGTGTGTTTGTGGGTGGGTGTGATCACTCCTGTCTGAATCTTCTCCACTGTCTGTTTACTGCAATGCAGGAGTTGTTCTTTGACTGTATTCAGCGCACCAGGGAATTTCACTGAGACCTTTGTCAGTTCCTACTGGTGCGTGAGAAACATCATTGCTTGTTATCTCCACTGTTATTTACAAACTCTGTTCATTGATAAATGACTTTAGAGAGGCTTGAGCAGAAGTGACAACATTGAAACACTAATTTGTTCTCATTCCTTGCCTTTCTTTCTCTCCCTTCCTGTTTGTCACTCTCTCTGTGCCGCTCTCTACAGAATTACCAACATGGTGTTTTTTGAAACCATAGCTCCAAAGTACATTCACAAATAGCATCACAAACTTGTGTGGTTGGAACTACTGCTGCATAATCTGATTATTCATTTTATATCAAACCAATTAATTAGCAGACGTTATTACTCCACCACCTGCGTGACGTCATTAACAACAGTTCTATATTGTTAAAATGATGAATGTGCGACATGTTTCTGGAAATAGTTGTGACAAGCTAGTTGATTTCTCCAATGATACATCATACTATGATAGTTAAATGCTCCGTGGGTGGTTGCAAGGGTGCTGTTAGGTGGAACCGTAAGGTGTTCTGTGTGGTTGTTCGGTTTTTCCATTACAGTACCTATTTATGGTTACGTCTATGTACTTTTAACATCTGTTATCATCCACCAAATTAAACATTGTAAGTCTCTTATGCCTGGTTCAGATTACACTTTTTTTTTTTGTCTGTTACGATAGTCATTGTGTCAGATTATGCGGTTTTGACTCCTAAAATCTTGTCGTGTCATGGACAAAACACATGTCAGACTACACGTTGCTTCCTGACCAGTCATCGCACGCCGTCTTTAACGGCGCGCGTGATGTCATCGAGAAGGCGAAACTAGTAGCGAGTGACTTCCAGAAATGAACATAAACAATGAATTACGCGGTGAGTGTTGTATTGGCTGTCCTGTGTTCAGAAAAAATAAAATAAAAGAAAGAAAACCCGACAATGGACACGTTCCTGGATTGCTCGAAGAAGACAGTATGGGCTGTCAATCCTCCAAAGAGAACTTGAGGTAAAATATTTCTTTCTTATATATTTTTACTTTTATATATGTTTAGTTTTAACATTAGCACCATCGTCTCTCTTTCGTTTCGCCATTTTTGAAAGTTGTGTACGGAAAAGCTTGTGCTCCTATTGGTCAACTTCATACATGTGACGGAACCGTCGTGGACGACCGTTAAAAAAATAAAACATGCTAGTCTTTTTGTCATGATGTCGTGAAGCATCACAGACGCAACGTAGGTTGTCGCCCACTATACGAGATGATACGATCGAATCTTGCGTCCTGACGCCCGTTGTCGTTTACGAATCCCCACGACACCCTACGTCAAACGCATCGTGCCAAAATCGGGCTAAAATCGTGTAATCAGAACCAGGCATTCGAAAGTCTCTAAGATCTCTTAGAAAAGGAACAACTTTAGTCAATAAGCCACATGATTTGTATCATTAATGTCTGCAGCAGAAATGCCGTTAGAGGAGTAACGTGCCAAATTTGAATACATTTAAGTAATTAAATCCCTAACTCACACAATCCACAATAATAATACTGTAGTCAGGCTTGCCTTAGCAAGCACCACTAATAAAAAGAATGTAATAAATTGAGGGACATTAAGCGTGTTGAACAGGAGAGAATACTGTGGTGCAGCACTGCGTGTCAGTGTTAGGGTGGGGACTCGGGACTGCTGCTGGAATGGTGAGAGATGTTAGCTGAGGATGCGAAGGCTCTATAGAGGAAATGCTTTGGAGGTAGAGGGTGAACGAGCAAGTGCCACGGCAAGGTCTTATATTGTGCACTTAGCACTAAAAAGGCAATGTGCAGCAAGGTATAAAATTGACCTCATCAACTTAAAGATCAATGTACATCTGTTTTGTGTATGCTAGAATATGGTCATAGAGCACATGGCGTAAATTTCATCATCAGCATAATACACGCACACAATCGGATCTTTCTAACCGAACGTAAGCTGTATGCTCAGTTTGCCCATGTGCCTTTTTTTTGCACAAATAAGTTGGCCAAGTTAATAAGTTGGGGTTACTTTGGTGCATCTTTTTGTTCCATCTTGTCAATTGCTTGATTTCTATTTCTGTTGTTTTGCACCGAATAGCCCCTCCAACTTTAAAAATGCTCCAGTCCAATTTTGAAAATACTTAAAGGGGTGATGAACTGGGAAATCAAATTTTCTTGAGCTTTTGACATCTAAGAGGTCATCATGTTATAAGAATATCTTGTAAGTTTCAGAACTGAAAACATCCTTGTTAGTCCAATAAAAGCTCTTATTGACACCAGCCTCAGCAAACGACTCGTTTTTCAAAGTGACGTCAAAGAGGATAAAACACCACTCCTGCAGAAGAAGATCAACGCCTACTTCAACATGGCCGGCTTAGCCCGGCCCACTGATTCGCACATTACACGCATAGCTAAATAACATAGGCCTGCCTACCTCGTGATGACAAACCGGATCAAGCTACCGAGCAATACAGAATATTGTGCAGTAGCTGGTTGTGGAAGAACACAGTGGCTGCAAAAGCTTCCTCTGGATTCCAATAGGACCGCATGGATAAACTCTATTTTTAATGACGTTTCAGCTGATGAGGAAAAACATTGTCCGTCTGTTCGCTTCATTTCATTGAGGATTGTTTTGTAAACAAGACTGGATTTGTAGACTGATTAAGAGTAAAGAACGGTGTTGTGCCGTCTATTTTGGATCTAACAGGAATGGTGCAACACACAAACTCTGGGTCGAACATGTATGGGCGAATCATTCCGGTTGCCATTTTACAACATTGGAAGTTTTCAAAACAATTTTCCCCAAGTGCATCGACGGGTGAGTTGAAACTCATTATAATATGTAAAACTGTTATCCACTCACAGCAGTGGGCGTTTAATTCCAAGTCTTTAGTCGAGACGCCAATAAAAACCCACCGTTTTTCAGCTAGGCTCAAAACTAGGGTACAAAATAGCCTAT